TGTCAAGGTCGGCGGTTGCTTTCGACCCTGTGAATTAGATCTGAATAGGATCAGTACTGTTGTTCTTTCACTGGAAGTCCTTTGACATTGCGGTACGCTGTTACAGTCAAAACATAGACGCTGTCAAAGAAGTTGAATGGACTTGTAGATAAGTTTTAAAATGAACGAGGGGTAGGGGTGGTGACATGAAACATAAGGCTGTCGAGGGCACATATTGCCAGAATGCCGGCGGAGAAAAACAGAGAACTAAGAAGCTATTCTGGATTATCTTCATATAGGCAACTGGAAGAGACTACTCCGCCAGGGTCAGTGCAATAAGGATCGGAAGTATGCACCAACAGGTGCCGTTCAGACATACAACACACATTGTCTCTTTGCAATACCACCGGCACGATTGGACAGCAACTAAGAGGGGGGAAGGGGGGAAGGGGGGAAGAGAGAGAAGGCGGGATAAGGACAGAAGAGATGACGACATGAACATGAGGTACGAGTGAAAAGATAAGTCACTCTTACCTGTCTACTTTCGCGAATCCAGAAAATGGGGAAATAAGACGGCCATTCAGCATAGCATGATTTCGCTGGTATCGATTGGTTTGGTTGTCTTTGACTGTCTCCTGCGACAGCCAGCTGTTTCCTCCAGAGCTCTCTGAGCTGCGTCTGCCTTCCGGTAGGTCGCCACCCTGGAAAGACATATTTCAAAGTATCCCAAATATCCCGGGGTCGTTAAGAAAGAAGCGGCCGCTCAGCGCAGCAATCACAATGTCAAACGAGGTAGAGCACCATCAATAATCGTCGCCGGGGGGATGTGAGCGAGGAGGAAAAGAAAGGGACTGTCGTAGAATGTCGTGCGATGAAGCGCGAGTTGATCCGAAAGAAGGCGGTCGACTGGCAAACGGTATGGTAGATAGTGAGCTTCTGTAGCGTAGGGGAAAGCTATATCAATGGGAACGAGGTGGAGGAAGGTTGGTTCAGGTACAAAGGGGGGCGCGTGATTCGAGAAAGATTATCGCTATATCACTGAAACAGCGACCGTCGTTGCACGGAGTTTTAGTGTCGGGCGCGGCGGGTGCTTCATGCTCTGAGGGACGAGCGGTAGTAGTCAAGAATCGCCATCGCACATTCTGGGAGAGCAACCCAAAAACGCATGATACGAAGCACGGGCGAAAGAATTAGAGGCGAATATGCGACATATGAAGAGGTTTGCAGGTGGAAAGAGTGGGCGAGGATTTCGTAATCAACGGGGCACGGTGGTTGCAGTGGTGGTGTAGGTTAGTAGTAATAATGGTCGTGGTGGTGACTACGCTACGTCGTTGAGGCTCTGGCCACAAGACGGCGCTAAACCGGAGAAAGTGATTGCTATACTCCGGAGTAATTTACTAACTACCTTTCTGCCAAATATTACCACCGACCTTGACCCCCCACCCTATAAGCCACTTACTCCTTACACTCGACTTGCAGGATAGTATTTGTTCACCCTCTTGACTGCTGTTACATGATCGTCACTTTCATAAACTATACCTGTATTGAGTTATTCCAACCTCAGCTTGAGTTTTCGACGAAGTGAAAGGGGGGGGAAATATCAATTGAAAAAAAAAGGGAGGTATAGAGATGAAATCAAAAAATAAATAAATAAATAAATAAATAAAAAATAAAAAAAAAATAAAAGAAATGAAATGAAATGAAATGAAAAAGAAAAGGGACTGTGATATATTATTTCTGTGATTTCGAAGGAAGATTTTTTGAGTTCCGTCAACCCGCTTTGGTCAGGTCATCTATGAGGGGAATTGATGTTGATATGGTCCGTGAGGATGTCTGTGCTGATCCTGGCGCGATTAGATAGAGATCGAGGAGGCATGCAGACCGTTTGGTACGCATCAATACAAAGAATGAAGCTGGCCCTCATGTTGGCTACGGATCATCCTATTGGGGAAAAGAGCTCTACTAAGGTACTACATACCTCCATAGATACCGTCCTAATCAAAATGTAACATCTGTATTCCTTTTGTACCGTATCGAGATACTTGGTAAAGTTCAATAGTACATACATAGCAGCTATGCTCCGCCAGTCAACATGGTGCCGTGACTGAAACTTATACATCGGCGTACGGTATCGGGTACATCCGTCATTACTCCGTACCATGAGAAATCCGATGGTCACCCTCCCCTTGTCTGGCATCATCGATCTGTTGCCAGACTTGGAACCAGTTCAGCAGGTAGTCAGTAGGAGTACTACTACTATTGATTTACTACCCACGGTTTCGACTTATTCGTTCACATTCCTTTGGCTTCTGTCCATCACTGACCAAAACGGCAATCCCTCCCACGCATATCCACAAGGCAGCCAATATGATGGGCAACCAACCGCTTCATATCCACAGTTCTGGGGATGATCATCAGCCGGTGGTATCAGGGGGCGTTAATCAGTCTGTTTCCCCTTAATCTTTCTCTCCCCCACCGCCCTCTTCTTGTTTTATTTCTTTTTTGTGTTCTTTTTCTATTCGTCTGTATAATGAAGGTGCTTGGTGAATACAGAATTATCACCGCACGCTCGGGCTGGACCTGCTATTTTTCTATATGCCAGACTAAAGCGGGAAATCAGCTAAAGTGCCACATGACCAACGACTGTATCGGAAATTAGAGGGACTGTCTATCGACCCCCAAACCTCGTGTTTGAATTTCCAGATATGTCAGACTCGGGGCTACAAAAAAAGGGTGGTATTTTTTTAATTCTTCATAATTTTTACCTCCTTAGTTTTCCGCCTGACCTGCTCCGGAGTACCGATGACGTGTCTCTTTTGCTCTTAAAATACAATATCGATACCATTCGATGTCATTTTATGCTTAGTTATAGTATCACCTTTAGAATCCAATCCATGACAACCACTACCACCTATGGCCTACTTTGCTTTCGTCCACTCAATTGGAGGTCACGTGGGACATCTGATCGACAATGAAAAGTCAAGTAGCTTTTCTTGGCAGCTCACTATCGACCTGGTCAGACTCTTGGCGACTGGACCCAACTGGATTGAATGATCTCCTCTACTAAGAGTTCAGTGCTAGTTCTCACTTGGTCGGATTCTTCGATTAGGTGATTTTAGATATATGATCATAGGGTACTGTTTTCATCGATGTTGTAAGAAATTTCACTGTGTATTAGAGCTTGTCGGAAACCACAAGCTTGCTGCACCTACAGATATATAAAAGTACACATGACACCATTCTTGTGCATGAATTTGTGACAACACCCCCTCAAGAAAAACCTCAACGGTATCCTTTTCTGCAGGTGGTTAGGTAGCTAACAATATTAACCGCTTCGAAAAAGCGCAAGGTTTGTGAATGCAACATATTTATATTACATGCTTGATTCTTTAAAGCTAACACCGACCTAGGGCTCACTAGTTCCCACATGGCATAACAAACTATAAATATCATGCTGAGATATTTGAGGGTTCGTTCTCCATAATAGATATCTAAGAGCCGAGAACCGTTGTCCAAGCTCCTGATCTTTAATATCTTAAAGTCCAATTGGAATACTTAACGATATGCTATCGGCCACGGTTTCTGATTACAGAAACATGTGGTCGTGCTAAGCAACAGGTTTCCGCTGACTCCCACCTCAACCGACTCGAGTACGTAAAGGAGTACTAACCATCTTTAGGTACTGTCCAAGTCTGGATTAGATTACCTACAGAAAGTGTAATCAACAATCTACACAGAGCGAGGGTTTGTCTCCTGCTCCGCCAGTCTTGCCCTTCGGCTGTAGGTACAACACAGTGTTGTTACAACCGTGTCATGTGGATACATGGATATCCCACGAAGTCCGCAGGGGAGTCTTTTTTGGAATAGAACGAAAAGGGGCACGGATACTTGCGGCTTCAGACTTTGCCTGAAAGGTCTGCTCAGAATATACTGTAGGGTCATTTGCTACTAAGAAACATGATGTGGCGTGGTTGTGCAGGTATGAGAATTGGCCTGGTCGAGTGTTGCGGATAGTTTAGACTCTAGTATGTATTGGATGGTGAATGGAGATTGAGAGAATATTGATCTAGACTGTTGAAAGTATACGGAGGAGATATTCTTAATTATTAACTTTGTACATATCATTGTTAGTATGGCAATACTTTGTTTAGGCTGTTTAAGCGAGGCAGTGGAAACTGTCTCGACCGGGAAACGTACAAGTCGGCATAAGATAAAAAAAAAAAAAAAAAAAAAAAAAAAAAAAAAAAAAAAAAAAAAAAAAAAAAAAAAAAAAAAAAAAATTGACGGTGAAAAAGGTAGAGAGAATTGAATCAAAATTTGGTATAAGAATAGCGCAGTATCGAAAGTCACTGCGCAGCGGTCTAGCCATGGCAGCCAAGGATTGCTACGTACAATGTACGGGCAACATTGAAAAGAGGGAGGCTGGGGGGTGGAGCGGGACGGGCGGTAATGAAAACTGGCGACTCTACGTACCATCTTACCTTCCAAGTGGCAAATGAATGGTATTAGACAAGCTATTGTCAGGGAGAGATGAGACAATGGCCCCTGGTTGTTGGTCCTGTTCTGCCTGCACAGTAGCACATGGCATGACAGCAACCGTCATCGGCTGGAATGTAAACAGTAGATTGGGTTGCAGCACTGGTATGTGTCGCGCTTCAGCCAAGCCTGATATTCACCCGAAAAATATGTGTCTATCAGGTCTGACCTCCTTAATTGCTGGTCCAAACCAAACAACGAGCTATTTCATGGTTCAGGTACCGATATCACAACATGGAAGAATCGACAATTAATTCCAGACCGAATCTGGTCCCTTGTTTGGAGCTGTTGGGACAGCAACCAATCATGAGTGCCCCGCCACAGATCCAGTGGCACAGCACCTGGCTGGCAACCAATGACTGCCACGAAGTCACGTCTCCACCCATGACCGACCACGCTAACTGCCCGGTCGGGCGAGATAATCAGCACGATTGATGTAAAGCTCAAGCGGAAGAAAAGCGAGGAGGCTGGACGACTCGTAGTACTCTGAAGACCACCGCACTTTCCCTTCCACCTAAACGGACTTTTATTTACTACTTATATGTTCCGACCCCAGTCATGGCTGCCTTGACAATATTTGACAATATCCCGACTGCTACCTTCCCAGAACAGAGGATTCCAGCACGTTCGCTTTGTAGGTACTTATTTCCTACGAACAACGCCGCAGGCCGGGACTTTTGACCAGACGCACACTCTCTCACACTCTCTTTGGGGGTTGCTCTAATCTACTCTGCGATTGCCTTCATATCTCCGCTTCCTAGATCTTTCCATTTTACCTGCAGAAGTCGCTCGTCCTGATCTCGCTTTACTCACGTTCCCAACGGGCGTATTCTCAACATCGTTTTCCTATTGTTTGTTTCATCTCTAGTACACAGCATCCACCATGAGGGTGCCAATAATTAATGCGGCGGTTCTCCTGCTGTCCTCTGCCACACCCGCATTGGCTCAGACATTTTCGGACTGCAACCCTTTAAGCAAAAGTACGTCCTCCTTGAACCCGGCCAGGTGCCCAATCTAACGTCAATCAAGCGTGCCCTCCAAAACCTGCCTATGGCACGTCAGGTACCTTTGATTTCACTCAGGGTCAATCAAATGATTTTGCAGATGTCGGAGGTCCCACGTATGGTAGCGATGGCGCCGAGTTCACAGTGGCCAAACAGGGCGATGCCCCGTTAATACAGTCTGGCTGGTACATCATGTTCGGACATGTCGAGTTCGTGATCAAGGCCGCCCCAGGGACGGGTATCGTCAGCAGTGCTGTTCTACAGTCGGACGACTTGGACGAAATTGACTGGGAATGGCTTGGGGGCAATAATGTCTTGGTCCAGTCGAACTACTTCGGAAAGGGAAACACTGATAGCTTCAACCGTGGCGCTACCCATGATAACGTGGGAAATCATGACAGCTTCCACACCTACACGATCGATTGGACCAGCGAACAGATTGTTTGGCAAATCGATGGCAAGACCGTTCGGGTACTGACTCCGGATACCGCGGCGACCAATCAATATCCTCAATCCCCGATGATGGTTAAAGTTGGAGTTTGGGCTGGTGGTGATCCAAACAATCCACAGGGTACTATTGGTGAGTTCCCTGTTTATATCCCGCCGAATTTCATACATTATGTTCTGCAAAGCTAACTGATCTGAAGACTGGGCGGGTGGCAAGACTGATTACAGTGCCGGCCCCTACACGATGTACTTGAAGACGCTGAAGGTGACCGACTATTCAACCGGCACCGAATACTCGTACGGTGATCAGAGTGGGTCGTGGCAGTCAATCAAGGCAACCGGTGGAAAGGTCAATGGTAATATTGCCGCTGAGTCTATCTCTTCTGTCGAATCTGCCCCGGCCATCACCTCAACCGTCGCTAGTATCCCTATCCCATGGAGTGGGACGCACCGCCAAACCTCGAGCTTTGTGACCCCGAGTATCTGGCCTTGGGTCCCTCGAGCCACCACGGCTACTCCAGGAGAGTCGAGGGGTCAGGGTCCTCTGCCAAGTGGCTGGACATTTTCTGGCTCTCGACAAGTCCAGCCGCCCAGCGCGGCTTCAGTGAGTGAGCATTGCCCAAACCTTTTCGCAGCTTAGATGTGTTACTAATGCTATGTGTCTCAAAAACAGTCCTGTCGCCCATCTACGTTTGTATCATCGCATTTGTCGCAGGGTTCAGTTTCCCTTTCTGGCACTAGAAGCACCATATGGACTCTCAGTTCGACGGGGCTCTTCACCATGTCGCCAACGCCAATGCAACTAGTTAGCTCCCCGGCCCAACCAGCCAGCACATCGACTTACCCTACTATCTCTTCCTCACGTACGACCATTACCTCAACAGATACCGCCGTCACTTCTACGCAGCGGACTATCTCTCCGACACGATCATTTAGCTCTTCAACCATGACCATGTCATCATCGACTTCCACCGGCTCCCCCTCTTCCACAACTAATGCAAGCGGTTCGAATGGTCCTGGAAACACCCCTGCCGCCACGACTACAGCCCATATAGCGCCTAATGTGGGGGCCGCAAATGCCATGTTTGACGCCCCTTTGCCTATGGTCGCTCTTTGCGTGGTGGTCGGCAGTGCGCTGGTCATGACTTGAACGGGCAGTATGAATTAGACGAGGCGCCTTGGAAGGTGCCATTTATGATAGGAATGGGATATGAGGTTACGACTCTTACGACCAAGGTTCTCGACCTGTACATACATAGGACCTTGAGTTTCTGCAGGTGTCTTGTTACCATGATTAATGACCATTGAATATGTATTATACGGGCTGGGTTGGTTTCTGTTAGCTTAGAAAGACCAATGCAAGTAATAGTCCACCAATAATAGCAGCGCTCGTTTCCCTGCGTTGAAATTAAGGTAAAATACTTGAGAGGTCGACGCTACCTGATCCACCGGTATCGACCATGGTCAGCCGATGTGGCGTGCACGCTATTCTCATCGCCGGTCAGCACTAATTTAGCCCAACCTTAAGTTAACTTGCAAACAACCTGAGTGTCTACCTGAGAGCCAAGAATGAAACGGTGGCATCCGTAGCGAGGCTGGTCATAAGACTACCACCACTCGAGAGATCGTCAGCGTTCGCATACTACAAGAATATGAGCTAGAAGGAAAGCAGAACGAAGAACCGGGCCAATTCTACACCATTTTATTATCACTCTCAAACACGTCCCAGCGATCAATACACCAGATTTCATTATTAGCTCTGAATCTTCGTAAAGAATTCTTTCTAGAATCGCCAGTTCGTCCCCTGATAGAGCCATATTTAGTAACAACATCTGTAGTAGAGTCCAGGCTGTCATGGTCTGAGCTCCGGATGAAATAGTTTTCCCCACACATCATACCTGCATATTCTTCAGAGGGGCCTAGTTGGTCATACATGACTCCCGAGGTCCTTGTGCTTCGGACGTAGCGGCGTGACGAGTCTCTGGAGGCCGATGTAGGGTGTATTGACAGGGCTCTCGGCCCCGGTATAGAGGAACATGTCGTAGATCCAGCCGCCAAAGGTACATCCAAGGCAAGGGGCGATGATGGGGACCTAGCCATTATTTCCAGTGAGCTATCATCCCTAGTGTAATCGACGAAGTAGGAGAAGGTAAGAAGAACGGTACCCAGAAGTAATAATTCCCAGCGGTCCACACATGCGGGCCATAGCCGAGCATATAAGTGAAGAGACGGGGCCCGAAGTCCCGGGCCAGGTTGATAGCGTACCCGGTCTCCCAGCCGAAGCAGGCGCCGATGCCGAAGACGACGAAGAACAGGGCCAGCGGGGTGAGCGGGCCGGCGCCGAGGTTGGCGTCGTCTTTCAGGGCGAAGATCATGAACATGAGGATGGCGCTGGCGATGAACTCGGAGAAGAACTGGCCCGTGCGCGTCATGAAGGCCGCCGGGTACGTGCTGAAGATGCCCGCCGTGGCTGTCTGCGAGTAGCCGGGCACGGTGCGGATGCCGGGGCCGCCTTCGTAGACGTCGATGGCGGATTTGTAGTTCCCGTACACGATGGCTGCGCCGCAGATGGCGCCGAGCACTTGGGCGACGACGTAGATGGGGAGCTTGCGCCAGGGGAACTTGCGCAGTAGGCAGCTGGCTAGCGTCACGGCCGGGTTGATGTGCGAGCCGGATATGCCGCTGGCGTAGACGCCGAGCATGACTCCGAGGCTGGGTGTGGAGCTGTCAGTGGGGAGGTAGGGTGGGTGGCTTGCTTGGGAGGGACTTACCCCCAGCCCCAGGAGATGGACTGGTAGTCGCCTTTCTCGCCGCGGCTCAGCGTGACCTGTGCGACGACGCCGTTGCCGAAGAGAACGAGGATCATGGTGCCAAAGAACTCGGATGCGCCTTCGCGGATGTATTCTCGCATCTTGCCCCAGAGGAGCGGGGGGTGCGCGAGCTCCCTCTCGTCTGAGCTGAGTGTGACGCCCAGCGCGGCAGAGACAGGCTTATCAGCTGGGAGGACGGCAACATGCGTGCCATCCTGGTGGTCAGTGGTATGTTCGATGATCTGTTTCATGCTGACGATATTGGATCTAGAATGGTTTCCTACGAACAGGATGTCAAGTCCTTACAATATGCATGAAAGTGTGTCTCGAGTGGCAGGGGGGCAGCGAGAGTGCTTTAATAAAACGACGTAGTGAATAACTCCGACGTACTCAGGCCTCATGTCGCGTCCGATACGCTTGATCCCTGCTGTATACATTAAGACTTGAGTGAATATACACCGGACAGCCTTGGCTACCTTCTCGCCGGTAGCCAGAAGACTTGGATAGACTGATCCAGCCGGCTTGGGATGAAGAACGCAACCGGTTGAGGAACAGCCCCCAGAGGGCCAATGCATGGTCAATCAGCTAAAACGGACAGGAGGAGTGAAGGGGAACGGGCTTGAAGAAGCATCTCATCTGGAAGAGGAGAACATTTCCTTGACACTACCCTGGGCACGACCTGTATACAGTACGGAGCACCTGTTCAACATTCTAAACTTGGCTAATAGCACTATTTCGAGGTACCTCATCGGAAAGCGTAGGGTCTCGCCAATTGCAAGGAGTCTAGGCGTGGCCTCATGTCATGCTCTCCGATGGGTTGCCGAATGGTAATGCAGAGAAAAAGCCTATTGATACTTGTGTCACCCTGTCATTCTGCTTGGCTGGCAGTCAGACCGCAAGGATTGGGCGCTGTAGCTCTGGGTCAACGCCGGTGGTACAGAGGTTTTCTGATATTTCTGTCTTGCAGCAATACACGCATCCTGGCTGTTATTATCCCAGACGGCGTGATGGTTGTTCCGGGAAGTTGGTCCCCATTTATAGAGAGATTAATGAGTGCATCTAATATGGCTGATAATCGTGCGGCTCTGTAAGGGCCATGAGCAGGGAAATGTCACTGCTGCATTGGTCTCCACAACGTTCTGGAAACATTCCAGGATCTGGAGATAGGGTTGAGTACATCGACGATCGGATGTTCATGGGGTACAGTAGTCGACGAGCGAACCCCGCAATTTGTGGGGGTGGATCACTTGGACTCCACTGCGACGATCGCAAGTGCTGATCCTCTGGACTTGTTTGCCAGCATCGCATCATTCCCATCTGCAGGTGAACGCAAGGGAGGGCACAATACGAATTCATCGGATCGGAATTAATTCCCTTGCGGTTGGGGCCCAGAAAAGGTCACGTCGCGTCAGGTGCTCCCCCATTTAAATCCTTTTTTTTTGTCTTTCTTCCCGGACCAAGAACAAACTAAATTAATTTATCCTCTCAGCATATGCGACTCGCTGGAAATGGTATGGAATCTTTACGACCCTGATCCCTGTTGACTAGCCCAGTTGGAAACGCGGTCCTCGCAGCATTGTCCTCTCAGTCCTGCCCTCCGCGAATGAGCGACATTGCCCCTATTCACCTGCGTGCTGGTTTGGCTCAGCCACCCGTGCCTTTTCTTGTCATTTTCCTATCTTCGATCGTGTCGCGCTTACTACTGGTCGTTGTCTGGGATCTAAGTCGCATTCCCCGCAGTTGATTCGCTATGTGACGGAGAAATTGAACCGAAGGATTAGTCCCGGTCATCGGTTCGCGGGATTCATATAAGTAATATGACAGCTTACTCTCCGCGGTCGCTATTTCTATTCCTGCTTCACAGGGCTTGTGTCTTTACTCACTTTCCCACTTCCCCTAGTCGCTTTTGTTACCGGTCCATTGGAAAAGCTGCGCGAGGTTATCACACAGCTCAAGCATCCCGCTGGTCGCGAGACGCCCTAGCTATGCAGCAGTCAGACATCTTTGTAGGCTCGATTGACCAGGGTACCACCAGTACCAGGTTTCTGATCTTCAATCGCGAAGGGGAACCGGTGGCCTCGCATCAGATGGAGTTTCCGCAGATCTATCCAAAATCCGGGTGAGCTCTTTTGTCCCTGTTGCTGCTCTTCTCTTCCTTTTTTTTTTTTCTTCTCAGGGTGTGAACTTTCATGCGTGTAACGGCTTGCGACTAATGGGTAACTCAGATGGCATGAGCACAACCCACTGGACCTGGTGTCTTCTGTGGAAACATGTGTGGAGCAAGCAGTCAAACAGTTTGAATCCACTGGTTTTTCTCGCGTTGATATCAAGGCAGTCGGGATTACCAATCAGAGAGAAACCACTGTGGTTTGGGATTATGAAACCGGTGAACCACTGTGCAATGCCATCGTGTGGACGGACACGCGATCGCAAGCGATTGTCAATGAGTTGAAGGAGAAGCCTGGGGCGTCACGATTACAGCAAGTCTGTGGCCTCCCGTTATCAACCTATTCATCCTCGTCCAAGCTGCTCTGGATGCTCGCAAATGTCCCCAGGGTCAAGGACGCTTATGAGCGCGGTACGCTCGCATTTGGTACCATCGACACCTGGCTCGTGTATTGTTTGAACGGAGGTCGCCAAGCAAATGTATTTGTTTCGGACCCTACCAATGCGTCACGGACGATGTTCATGAACTTGGAAACTCTAGAGTACGACAACTCGCTTTTAGACTTCTTTGACATTCGAGGAAGAGTTCATCTGCCGAAGATTGTTCCATCTTCTGATACAAAAGCCTATGGCGTTATCTCAGATGGAGTCCTCGCTGGCGTCCCTATCATGGGTTGTCTCGGCGATCAGTCCTCGGCTCTTGTCGGCCAGAAAGGGTTCTCGCCAGGGATGGCAAAGAACACATACGGCACAGGGTGTTTCCTCCTTTACAATGTGGGCGAAAAGCCTGTTATATCCAAACACGGCCTATTGGCCACAGTCGCCTATCACTTTGATGGAAAGCCAGTGTACGCTCTCGAGGGGAGCATCGCTGTTGGTGGCTCCGGAGTCAAGTTCCTGCAGAACAACCTGGAGTTCTTCAAGGAGTCCAAAGAAATCAACGATTTAGCCCTCACGGTGGAAGATAACGGAGGATGTGTCTTTGTTACTGCGTTCAGCGGGCTCTTTGCACCTTATTGGATTGACGACGCGAAAGGAACTATCTGTGAGACCAACCCCTCATCTATTTCAGACCAGCTCCTGATAGGATTTAGTCGGAATTACACAGTACACGAAGAAGGGCCACATCGCCAGGGCCACGCTTGAAGCAACCTGCTTCCAAACAAAGGCAATTCTGGACGCGATGGAAAAGGACAGTGGCCATGCGCTGTCGGAGCTGGCAGTTGACGGAGGAATGAGTAACTCTGATCTTGCAATGCAGGTACGGTAATCACTGCGCCTAAGCTATCACCTCCACTGTTGATACCTTTGTTGGGCTATTGCCTTTCTTGTTAACTTACGTTTCAGACCCAAGCAGACCTGATCTCCATTCCGGTCTATCGCCCGAAGATGCGAGAGACGACCGCGCTAGGTGCGGCCATTGCCGCCGGCCTGGCAGTTGGGCTTTGGCGGAACTTTGCCGAATTGCGCGATATCAACCGTTCTGGGGGAACGGTCTTCGAGCCTCGGATTGGCCGCCAGCAAAGTGCGGAGTCATTTGCCCTCTGGGAAAAGGCAGTCAACATGAGCAGGGGATGGGTTGGGAACAAGGTGCCACCCGCCGTCCCGGAGACCAAGAAAGATGCTCCCGCTGCTGTGCAGCACAGCGAGAATACCCAGATGGTCCCAGCGAAGGTCAACAGCAGCATTCTTCCGGCGAAGAGGCCATTGGTCAGTATCTCCAGTGATCTGGACGATGCCGACGAGGACTATCTGTATCTGGAACTCCGGCGAGTCGAGATTCTGCAGAGACTGAAGAAGCTCACCAAGCTCAAGGTAACCCTTTTATCAACTTAGCCATCGCTGATATTCAGCTGGTTCGTTGAGATGAGCACATTCTACTGTACCAAAATGTACATTCATGATTAGGGAGGCAGACTCTTGGGGCTTCACGATGTCCATTCACACAGCATATAATGAAGTTATGAAACAGAAGCTATATACAACACGCTCTTTGACAATTTATATACCCAAATAACCTATGACCACCCATTATACTGTACGGGATATTAGATCCTTTCACCTTTCATCAGTCGTAAGATCAAGAAGGCGAACAAAACTCGCTCATTGAGTAACACCCGCTTCTTCCTCCGGCACAAAGAGACAATTCAACTCTGATCCCGGACTCAAGGTGACTTCAAACCGAAGAACAGGATCCTCCACGACCGCCTTCCCACTAACCGGGTATGCCTTGATCTCCCGGAACGCCTGGAGAATTCGAACCACCGTATATCCCATCTCGATCGTCGCAAACTGCTGACCCAGACAGATCCTCGGGCCCCCATTGAAGGGGATAAACCGCCACGGCTTAGGCTGCCAGCCAGACAACCAGCGGTCAGGATGAAACTTCTCGGGGTCCACGTACTGAGCCGAGCCAGGAGCATCATAATTCTCCGGGTTCCGCTGCATCAGCATCGTAGAATATATCACCCGGGTATCAGCACGAACACCGATCGGAGAGAGCCCATCCGGACCACCGCCACGGGGCAGGGTGGTATCATGGAGCGCGAGACGAACATTGAACGGAACGACCGGGTACAGACGCATAGTTTCATTAAGGACCGCGTTGAGGTACTTCATCTCCTTGAGATCGATGTAGCTGGGCTTTTGGCCCTTGGCTCCGACGCCGAGTCGCGACTCGATCTCCTGTCGCAGTTTTGCCACGACATCGGGGTTCCGGGCGAGTTCGAAGAGACAGAAGGAGAGCGTTCCGGCTGTTGTGTCGCGGCCTGCGAGCAGGATTGCAACCAGTTGGTCTCGGAGGACTCTTGGGTCTCGGGTGAAGCGGGCGAGGGAGTCCAGGAATGTGTCTTGTTTGGACAGTTTCTGGTCGAGTTCGGCGGTCGATAGGGATAGGACTCGGCTGATGTAGGGTTGGATGAAGTTGTCCATGATCTTGAGGCTGCGGCGGAATTCCTTCAGTGAGAGCAGGAACTTGAAGACACTGTATGTGACATGGTTAGTTGATGAGATATGGACTTGTGGAAGCCTCACTGATACTGCAGTGGATGATTGTACGTACCCGAGTCGTGTTAGATCGGCCTGGCGATGCTGCACATAGCCGAATGCTTCGCTAAACAGCGTCGTCGGGTTCTGGAGACTGTCCGTGCCTTGGCCCAGCAGATAGTCGGTAGCTGCGTCCAGCGTGTAGCGGAAGAATAACGGGCCAACATCGACGACCTTGCTACTGATCGGTGAATCCTGTCCTGACAGGAAGGGGATAAGGTGCTGCACATGCTTTTCGAAGACCTCGGTGTCCACGATCCGCTCGCGCACAAACATCGGTCGAATCAGATGTCGTGAGCGCGACCACAGCTCACCGTCTGTGACAAAGATGCTGTCGCCCAGGAACTCTTTCCAGTCGTTATGGAAGGGCTCACCCTTGCCATAGTCTGCGAACTGGCCCGCGAGGATGGCCTTGATGTTCTCGGGGTCTCGGGTGAAGATGATTCGAGCCGAGACGCCTGCGCTAACCTCGGCGGTTTTGGGATTGTTAATCTGCGATGGCCCCTTCGCTGTCTTGATTGCGTTGCTGAAGAACTCCAGGTCGCGGTGGGCTCTGTTCGCGGCAAGGGATTTGTAGATAAAGTCCATGGCTATATGGTCATGTTAATGACGTCGTGCTTGCAGGATCTCGGAAATACTTGCCGTATGGGAGGCGAAACTGTACCATAGGGGCCCTGCCCCCCAGCCGTTGAATCTGCATTGATATCTGTACTTTTCGAACTATGCAGGCAAGAAAGAAGACGCCGAGGAGGCAAAGAGCTGCCTTCCCGGGCATCATCTGGTGGAGCAAGTCTTCAATCATGGCGAGGGTAGTGTCGAATCTGGTTCGAAAACACAACTCTGGAAGCCATGCGCGTTAGCCCGGGACGCCCGGTTATTCTTATAACGGTCGAGGATCCTCCAGGTAGGTCAGCTATACCATCACACCTGTTGATCTTCAGAAATGAGCCAGGATTTTCCCCACCAGTCAAGTGCCTTCCCCGCATGCGCTAGTGTAGTCTGGAGGTCTGGACGATTCCTCTTCGAGCAGAGCTTGCGAGCCCCACATCAGCTCGAGGATCTCGAGGGGTTGCGAGGCGAGTTCGTACCTAGGTACTCTTTCATATGACCCTCCTGCTGCATCCCAATATGCCCCACGTGATTGGCCCGTGACCCCCCCCCCCCCATGCCCTTATTTCTTCCTTGTGGGCGTGTACGGCAGTTGATGCAAGGCTAATGCTGATCTATGCGGCCCGAAGATGGAAGCATGTGCTTATCCGTGCATATTCAAAGTGCATTTGTGAAGTGCATTATTGTCCGTTCAGTGTATAGCCGTGTAAATACAAACGCCTAGATTATTATACCTTGACAGAAAGAAAGTGCAGTATCCCTCCAGCATAAACCATGATGCGTTGCCACTCGTTCAGGCTCGGCTGAACCCGCTGAGAGGTCTGGAGAACCATCCCATGAGCCCGCCCGACTTGTTATCTTCCTTCGGCTGTTCCTCCTCTCGCTGTTCAACGCGCTGCTCAGCCTTCTCAGTCGGCCCGGTTTCGATCCTCGCCAGTCTTTCCTTGACGTCCCGCATCTCGGCCTCCAGCTCTTCCCGCATCTCCTCGCGCATCTCGGACTTGAACTCTTCAAAGAGCTCCGCGATACGACCCCGGACGGCCTCCTGGTTATCCGGCTCCGTGGCACGAGCATCATACTCGGCCATCTTCTCCTGCACGAGCTGCTGCATCGAGATGCGGAGGCCCTTAGACTCGCGCGCCTTCTGCGCCACCTTCGCCTTGGCCGCCTCCCTCTCCCTCTTGATAGCGCGGGCGGTCTCCTCGTCCCTGGCCTCCATGGCCTCCTCCATACTCTCCTGAAGATCGGCGATCTCACGATCATACTTCTTCTTGATCTTCAAGAGCTCAGCCTGAACATACTGCCCGGCCTCGGTCTCATCCAGCGTCTTCCGCTCCTCGACCAACTCATGCACGATATGCAACACCACCTCCTCATTCCGCCGCACCAGCGACGACACAATGGCCGCCGCGCTCTCCCTCGACCCATCATGCTGCATCACATTGCCCCCCTGCGCGAGTATCGTCTTCCAGAACTGGCCCTTCAGCTCCGCCTCTCGTCGCTCCCCGAGCGCCCTCCCGGCCTCTGTTGGCTCCAGGTCCCCCCACATGTTGGTCACCAGCACCACGCCCGGGAAGCTGCCGCTGCCGCACAGCTTCTCGAACATGTGCAGGTTCTTCATCGCAGAGCCCCCCAGCCGCGGGTCCGTGATGCGGTGCAGGTACACGATGCCCACTAGCCGCCACCGCTTCTCGTGGATCATGGCCAGGAAGCAGGAGATCTCTTTCAGGATTTCCGTGTCGGAGCGCTCGGTGTCGTCGAAGCCGGGGGTGTCGAGGAGGATAACGGTGCGTTTGGTTTCGGGGTGCGAGAAGCTGAACATGTCTGTGTGGGTTGTATCTATGTAAACCCGTCTTAGTATGATATCTTACATCTCATCCATCATTCAACCCGTTTTTTTTAAGAAAGAAGAAGAAGAAGAAGAAGAAGAAGAAGAAGAATAGAACTCACGAGACTGCAAATTATGCCCAATACCCACCGGCTGATCCGCAAGAAGAGATATCAGGGAACTCTTCCCGGAGCCCGTGACGCCCATGACAGCGATCACGACCGTGTCATCTCTGGGTGTAATTGGTTAGCATTTCTTGAGTCCGAGTGTACAAGACCAAGTGAATGTGAATGGGACTCAGTGAAGGGTTGTCTCTTACTGTTGGGTATTTGTGTCCCTCTCGCGGAAGTGCACGTTGTGGCTGTTGCGGCGTGGTGAGGATACTTCTGGTATTGCATTTGCACCCGATGCAACTGATATTCGCCGGGCCGGTTTCGAGATCGGCTCTGTGGAGCTGCGGCGGATACCGGCGAAGTAGCCTTTTGTGGTCATTTTGGGTGTTCCTTTGGTTAGGAGGTGGTTGAGAGGGTAGATGTGTTCAGTTAGGGTTGTTTAGTTTGCCGAGGGAGGTGGTTAGGGTTGATGTTGAAGTTAGGGAGATTTACTGACGAAGATAGAGATATAGAAAGAAGGAAGATAACAGGGAAACAAGCCATGTATACAAACAGATAAAAAGAAACAACAAAACCAAGCAATCAGCAAAACAAAAATAGAATGAAATAAAAATGAGGCACGCAAGGCAAAAGTCAAGGCCCAACAGCACTTGGCCAGGCATGTAAGTCCAGTCAATCCGCAGGCTGTGACTTGTCTACTTGTCTGGCCCCGTCTTTCACACCCAAGACTGAGTTGGCAACGCCCCAGTAAAGCAGCTGCAAAACGCCTGCTCGCTGCGTGTCACCACAAGCCAACGGCTCGCCTTGTGAAGCAAAAGTGGGTATTGGGTGTTTTGTTGTTCGTTTTCTTTCCCTTCCCTCTCCTACGTACTCCTCTCATTAGGCAAGTGTTGCAGCCACGAACCAAACGGTACTATAAGGCAGCAAAAAAAGACATGTTACCTGACACGTCAAGCTGTGGAATGCGTGTCCCTGGTACGGGGCCTCAGGGAGGCAGAGAGAGAGTGAAGCCCCAGTTTTCCACGCTGGCTTAAATGCTACTTTTCACTCTGCCGGGGAATTCGAGATTTAATCACATCCAAACCCCTTTCTTTCAAGTCCCTTGTCTAGTCCCACAGACCCTGGCTACGGGCTCAAACTATTGTCTTCTGGTCAGATTACTGTTATTGTGTGCAAGGTTATTATATCGTCAAGATGCACTCGGAGTCAGAATCCGGCTACGAGTCCCAGGTCTCGCTGGACGAGCCCATCACTCCCATGTTTAAAAAGGACCATCATCACGATGCACAGCTGCCGGATATCACGTACGTATATTCTATTCCATGCATGATCCACTCACCGTTTTTACTCACTTTTTTGCCCGCTTAGACCAGACGACCGCGTTATTGCTGTCATGGGGATAACAGGTGTCGGGAAAAGCACCTTCATCTCGCATTTTAACGAAGACGCCCTTGTAGGCGATAGCCTGCTTTCCTGTAGGTTTACCCCATTCCCCTCTACTTTCTGAAACAGAGAAAAACGAAAAAGAAGGAAGAAAAAACAGTCCACTTACCAAACCCACAGGCACAACCGAAGTCGGCATCCACCAAGCCCAAATAGACAACCAACGGATCTTCCTGATCGACACGCCAGGGTTTGACGACACCACGCGGTCCGACACAGACGTGCTGGTTGAGATCGCCGACTGGCTGCGCTTCTCCTACAACGAGAATATCAAGCTGGCCGGGATCATCTACCTGCACCGCATCAAGGACGTGCGCATGGGCGGCGCCTCCATCCGCAACCTGATGATGTTCAAGAAGCTCTGCGGCGAGAAATGTCTCAGTGGGGTCGTGCTGGCCACGACGATGTGGAGCAGCCCGCCGTCCGAGAAGGAGGTCCGGCGCGAGAGCCAGCTGCAATCGGAGCGCAAGTTCTGGGGCGAGATGATCGGGCACGGGAGCCGGGTCTTTCGGCAGGATGATGGGATTGCGTCTGCCACGGAGATCATTCGGTATATCCTGAGCCGGCCGCAGAATGTGACGCTGCGGATTCAGGAGGAGATGGCCAGTGGGAAGTCACTGGGCGAGACGGCCGCTGGGAAGGAGGTGCAGGCGGAGGTGGAGCGGTTGCGAGCTAGGTATGAGAGGCAGCTCAATGAGCTACGTAAGGAGATGCGCGAGGCCGAGCGCAGACAGGATCTGAATCATAAGAAGGAGATCGAGGCCGTGCGGGCCGAGCTTGAGGAGGAGTTGAAGAGCAGTAAGCAACAGCAAAGCATACTACGCATGGACATCGACGAGCTGCAGAGGGAGCGAGACGCAATGCACCAGCAGGAGATGGCGCACCGAGAAGCCATCGATCAGCTACGCAGACAGCGCGACGCCGAGCGAGAGGAAATGTACGAAAAGGAAATGGCGCACAAGGAAGCCCTGCACCAGCGAGACGCCGATCTGCGGGTGCTGCGAGCCAGAGACGAGTATGAAGCACGGTTATTGGAGCTGGAAACGCAAATGGCGCGAGAGAAAAACCGCCGAGGTGGATGTGTGATGATGTAGTTGGGATCCTGGACTCCTGGTATGTGTTCGAACTTCGGTGGCTATGATTTATTATTTAATGATTATTCTTACTGGGTTTTTGTTTTGGGCGGATGTCTGCTTGTGTTTCCCTGTTTGTTTACATAATATAACATATATACCAGATAACTAGGGCTGTGAAAATATGAAATAAAAAACAATTCAAACCATTATGCTACTGAGTAGGATGTGAAGGTGGAACGATCAACTGCCCCTCATGTCGGGCGAGGAAGCCCTAACTGAATCCCATCAGGCCGACATTGACTCCCAACATCTCTACCACGAGAATGCTCACAATATCCTTAGTATACCACGATACCTACTAATCCTTGTTTTTTGTTTTTCGTCCGGACCGTGGTTGCCTAGAAAACACAGCCAGCGAGTCCCTCCAAGTGGGCAGTGAACAGTAGACAGTAGTCATAGTCACATAGTATGCACCAAATAAGAGGCAACGACATAGACAGCACGCGACCACTCCAACTGATTGGTACAAGTAGCCGCCACGTCAGGTTTGCCTAGAGTGTCTCTTCCTGTTTCTCCACGGTGACTAAGGGTCGGAGGGGCGAGAACTGGAGCCCAAGCCTCACTTGTTCATGTCGATCTTAGGGATGACATCACTGTGCATTAGGGGATGCTGGTGGGTTGTTTTGCTGTATGTATGTATGAATGAATGTATGTACACTTTACAGAATTGAGAAAATGCTGTGCATTACTCTCTGCTTATTGTTGATGAGCTTTTCTAGAGATTATCATTAGGTTGCTAGAGATCTGTATATCATGCTCGGAATGAGGATGAGAGTATAGCACGCCCCTTTGAGGCTGCGTTAGGACACTAGGTTATATTTCTGATTAAAATTGATCGTACTATATATCAAATTTAAGTAGTTAAAACCCACTATCTCGCCCGACGATCCAATGAAGAATGACAAAAATGGATTTAGTTCGCACAGAATCTGCTGAGAAAGAGACTACACAGACTCGACTAACATTGAAAACTACCTGATAAATTTCTAAAGACTTCTCACCTCACGCAGCCCATCCCTTTTCCAGCTTACTTCGGCCAGCTGCCAGTTGCGCGAGAGAATTAACAGTGGCGCGCCCCATGATATCAAACACGGCAACATCGGCATGCATCTCTTTCGAGAACCAGCTTCGAAGTTCTACTGCAACGAGCGAATCCACGCCATATTCATGCAAAGCTTTGTTTGCATCGATATCACCTTCGGAAAGCGAGAGGACCTTACAAAGCTTCAGGGTCAGGGCCTCTGCAGTCAATGTGGTTGCCTCCGCCAATGATGCGGCACTCCGCAACGCGGTAGCGATGTCCACACCGCGCGCCTGGCCCTGCTGGTCGCCCTGCGATGCTTGGTCAAGCTGTAGGAACCCAAACAGCGGTTTCTCGAGCCAGTACGCCCTTACGGCACCCCTCTCCATCACCACTGGTTGGATACCGATCGCTGTCTGGCAACTCAGCCTGAGATCCCGGGTTACAGCAGGGTTGCAATATGAGTCGAGCAAAGCGTGGAACTGCCCCTCGGTGACCGGCTCTAAGACTGAGTTTTTTGGCATCATCTCCCGCAGTTTGGGATCCTTGGCTACCGCCCCGGCGAAGGTGAAGAGACCCAGATCAAGAGACGTAGCGCGCTCGCCGATACTGACCCGGTAGTGGGCAAGTGCGTCTTGGAAGGTGTTGCCGGCGCCATAGTTGGCCTGTCCTCTGGAGCCGATCAGGCCGTTGATGGACGACAGCAAGATGAAGAAGTCCATCCCCTTGGGCAGGAGCTCGTGGAGATTCCATGATCCTTGCACTTTGGGATTGACTGCGGTTTGCCAGGCGGCGTATGGCATGTCTTCGTATAAAACATCCTATGGTAAGGTTAGTACACAGAAGAGTTTCTCGAAGCGCAGGCTATACGTACATGCAGCACCATTGCACCCTGAATACAGCCTTTGATGGGGGGCATGTGTGATTGACAGGCGTCAAGCGCTTTGCGGAGCGACTGTGCATCGCTCACATCGCATGCCGGAGCCAGGGCTTTCACGCCTTGGCTGTGTAATTGATCAAATAGTTCACGGCCCTCGGGGTTGTCTCCACCAGATCGCGACAGTAGGAGCAGATTTCGCGCCCCACGAGAAACAAGCCAGTTAACAGCATTCTGACCAAGGCCACCTAATCCACCGGAAATAACGTATGTGGCGTTGGGGTCAAAGAAAGAGTTGGGTTTGGGGTTCAGCATGGTCTGTTTTACAGGTTAACAGACATGACCTTAATGAAACGATGGCGGAAGTGGATAACTTCATGCTTACCATGACTGGATCATCCCGACGCATCTCAATAACTAACTTACCGTGATGCTTCCCACCCTGCATTAGTCGAAAAGCTTTCTCCATCTCACCGACGCCGTATGTGGCGATTGGACTTGGGGGTTGTAACTTTCCCTCCACGAGCAAAGCCAAGATCTCTGTTAGCGCAGACACGCAAGCAGTTGGGCGGTCCTTTGCCAAAGACCCTAGGTCGAGAGAGATGAATGCTGTATTCTTTGCAAATTGGAACATTGGAAGCTTGCTGTTCGAGAGAATGTCCTTCTTGCCAATTTCAATGAATCTGCCGTACGGGGCAATGCACTCCCATGACTTGATAAGGCTTTCACCTGAGAGTGAGTTCAAGATTATATCCACCCCCTTCCCTGCGGTTTGTTGGAGAATCGCCTTTGAGAAAAGTGTGGATCTGCTCGAGTAGATATGGGACTCGGGAATTCCATATGTCTCTATTAGAAATGCCTTTTTGCTTTCAGAGCCTACTGTAGTATAGACCTGAGCTCCGAAGTGTTTCGCGATCTGTATCGCTGCTTGGCCTGTACCTCCAGCTCCAGAATGGATTAGGACAGATTCACCAGGCTGAATTCGCGCGAGCTCCTTCAGTCCCATATACGCAGTAATGAAATTTGCTGGGATAGAAGCCGCAGTAGTCAGGGAGATCCCCTGGGGGACATGAACAACAGGGTCCGTCTCAAGAAACCGGAGATGTGTTGAGTAGCAGTTGGGCAGAAAACCAACGACTTTATCTCCGGGTTTGAACTTACGACACGCTGTTCCAACACGTGTAACAGTGCCGCTAGATTCAAGGCCTATGCTCCCGACATTAAGCTGA